AATGTCTAGATAGCGAAACATTTACTATAAAGAGCATTCTTATATCATTCCCGAGTATTATGATATTATCTATATATAACAAAAGAAGGTGATAGTGCTCTCACTTACCTTCCTATACATACAATGTTCATCTTCATTCTTAATGAAGTCAATCTTATGTTCCAACTTCGGGAAGCTTTCTTCAGTTCATTGATGAACCTAAGCAATTTACACACCTTATTTGGACTATCCTTGACCATGAATCCCTCATAATGTATCATATACACATCCTCATTGAGGTTGTCATTGAGGAACGTGATTTTCACGTCCATCTGTCATATCTCATAATCATAGTGTTTTGCAATAGCCAACAGAATTCAAATAGATTTTAGCTTGGCTACGAGTGCGAATGTTTCGTCATAGTCAACACTTTGCCTTTGATGAGACCCCTTAGCCAATAGCCTTGCTTTATAGGTCTTTATATTTCTATCCACTCTGATTTTCTTCTTGAAGATCCTTTTGCAACCAATGGATATAATACCCTTAGGTGCATTAACTAGGTTTCAAACCTTACTGGAGTACATGGAATCCATCTCAGAATGAGTCATTCCCTGTTCCTCAAATAATTTATGGAGATGCAAGAGAATGGATCTGGCATCCATCATTTCATATTGTCTTTGTAACTCAGGAGTCATGGAGCTTAATATATAACACTAAGTAAGAGTGGAGTCATTCATGTACTTCACGTAGCGAGTGATCTCATCCTCGCATGCCCCTTCCTCGGGTGTAGGCATCACTATATCAAGAATGTATACAATTTTCTCCGTCGTGAGAATAATTCTCAGGTTACGAAGTCAATCCATATAATTTGAACCAGTGAGGTGGTTAACGTCAAGTATGCCACGTAAGAGATTTGAAAGTGACATATTTCTAAAAAATAAGAGATGTAGCATAAATAAATAACATGTAGATTTTATAAAAAATAAAAAAATCAAGATATATACTTCTCTCTTGATCTACTCCCACTATTTTCTTGCGAAACACAAAACTCCCTAAGTATATGAATCGGAGGCCCACAATGGATCTCTAGTGGGGATTGAGATATAATCGGTATCTTAACGTAACCTCGAGGGACTCGACCAATCACACTAAGCTTGTAAAGATAAGCAACTCTTTGTGATTCTTGTCCTATTCGACATCCGAACCACCATGGACTCGAGGGACTCGACCAATCATGATGTTCAGTTAAGTCATCACAATTGTTATAAAATGAGTCTGATTCGATGATATGCCCTCGAGAGACCCGACCAAGTATACAATGTCCTCAGGTCACTAGTGACATTTCTATATCATAAGCAAGATAGCGAATCGTGATATAGGTGAGCCTTGAGGGACTTGACCAACTCAACTTATATCGGAAATCGGTTCCTACCTATAATGATAAAAGGCCATGTGGGTCAATCTAATTACCTCACGTGTATTGACTTAATATTATCAAGAGAGGAGATTTTAATTTAGTCTCCTATAATGTGTCACACACATATATATTTAATATATATCTACATTACATGCAAATATATATACATATATATAGTATGTGTATTAGTAATCATACATTATATAAGCAATCACACAAGTTGATCATGGACCATAGCCTAATGTGATCAGGCCCGAGCTAGTCGGCTCAATCACTCATATCAAGATCTATGTGTGCAGCGACGTATCTCAATGCCATGTGATCGTCTATCTCGTCATTGTCGGTTCCGTCAGCATTTCGATACTTCCCCATGCATCGCGATCATCCGTCTCGACCTCATGGGTCTCGTTATCGCCTCCACGCTCTCGTTGTGCCTCCTCATATAATTACAACATAATCACAGGCACGTAGGCCCGACAATAAACGAGAAAAAAATAAAGACCCGCAAGCCTTAATAATAATAATAATTATTATTATTATTATTATATCATATCACATGGTCCATGATTATTTGTCTACATCATACATCACATGTACATATCATTATATAGAACTAGTAGATAAATAATAATAGTTAATTAAAAATTTTAATTAATTAATATTTTTTAAAAAAATTTGAGATATGTAGGAAATTTTTATAAATTATGAAGGGTATTTAGGTAATTTAATATAGAATGGACATAACTCGAAATTTTTAAAATTCTAAGAGACAAAACTATCATTTGCCCACAAACCCCTAATCCCTTCTCAGTTGCAGTGTTGTGGCCACTGCCAACTTGATGGCGACCATTGCGGAGGCGGGGGCGTCACCTCTACCCGCGGGCGGCGTCGCCCCTATAGGCGCTTTTGCCCGCGAGCGCAACGCCCACAGGTGGTGGTGTCCCCGCGGGCATCGCCACCGTTGAAGGGCACCTATAACTAGCAATATGTACTACACATGACTGTGCATGTATCACACCAGGCTGGACCAACCCTAGTCCATGGACTGGTCATATGCGTAGCACATGACTACCCATGTTGGACTCAGCTAGGTTAGCCTATGGGCTAGGGCTTGACCCGCGGGTTGAGCCTAGCCTACGGGCTGGGCCTGGCCTGTTAACTAGGCCTAGTCAATGAGCTATAACCTGACCTATGGGTTGAGCATAGCTTGTAGGTTATTTTAACCATATTCTTATCCAATTTCAATTTTGAAGTATGACAACATATATTCACTAACAATAATACATTAAAACATAACAAAAGATTAAAGAATAAAATTGAAAGATAAACTTGAAATGACATTCGTAATTCAAAAAGAATTAAAATTTATACTTTCAATACATATGACAAATAATTTCAAATAATAAAATTTTAAATCTTAAAAGGGATCAAAAGTTTTTAAATAATATATTGTAATCTAACAATAAAATTTTAACATTTAAAGGATTAAGATATATTTTTAAACTACTCATAGTAAATTTTAATCTAAATAAAATTAAAACAACAATAGGAGAAAATAACATTGTTAATCTAAATATGAAAAATCATATATCATGTATTCAATACATAAAACATGTATAATTTTAATATGTTTAAATCTAAAATAAAAATATTTAAAGAGGATTAAAGAATCCCTTAAAAACTTTAGATAATATATCTTAATCCAACAATAAATATTTTTAAACTATAAAAATTTTAACATTTAAGGAATTAAAGTAAAAATAAAATAAAAATGTTTATTTTTAAGAAAGGTAAAGAAACGTACCTCTCCTTAACATGATATAACTCTTCGTTCCTTTCGTTTTTGGGCTCGACTAGACTAGGAACAAAAGAGAGACATCGCTCCTCTTAAATAGGAAGAGCTATTTAAGAGGTGAAACTCCATTAAAGAAAGTTTTTCTTAATTCTTATATTTATTTAATATGAATTTTTTATTTAATATAGTAACAAATATAATATCATATTTAGAATATTTAATAGTCATTTCCTAATTCATAATGATAAATAAGGAAATAAAATTAATATTTTCTAAATTACAATAACAAGTAAAAAAATAAAATTTGATTCCTAAATTAAATATTTGATTTGATTACATAAAAAGTTCTTTCTCTCTCTTTCACTATATATATATATATATATATATATATATATATATATATATATATAATGTCACCAAAATACTTTAGAAAAGACCAACATTCCAAGATACAGCATTCCTTGCATGCAACATAAAACTCTTTAAAGAGCGACTCATGAAGGTGTCCCAAAACATGTTTGGAATCTTAAGTTTGTTCATCGATTCCATCTTCACCAACCAACTTTATTACTGTTCAAGAGATCAACATTAATTTGTAAATTTTACCCTCAAACAGAATCATTTCACCCATTCCCAAGTGAGTTCACAAACAATGCCTTCGCAAGAAACATGATCCGTTCGATGTTCGACCGAGAAGATAAAGAAGACGGTAGAATCCAACATAGAGGGAGACACCAGTAGGTATGGGAAGTGAGTCCAAAACCATTTCATACATATAAGCTCCTTCCATTCCACACATATGTTAGGATGGTGTACACTTACCATTTCATAAATAACAACAAAGTGCTTGTGTGAATGGCATGTAGTCCTATTATGTAGCATATGACTGACTTCGTTATTGATAGACACTGTAAACTATTCACTGTAAATTATTTATTGCATAAAATGGCACAATATCTCAAAAGCTTATCTCTTTTAAGTCTAAACCACCCATCCAACCAACATAATTAAGCTCAAGTTAATAATAAACTAACATAATTCTCCTTTCATATCACATTTACGATTAAATTATGATAATATATGTTCGATCAGGTTGAGTTTCGTTTATATCACACTTTGCGTCAGGACAACAAAAATAAGTTGACCAAGCAAAAACCTGATAGAACATCAAGTCCATGATATAATAATAATTTCTCAAAAATTTATACATTTTGGGTTTGAGACGTGCACGAACCCAAAACTCCTTTAAGCATGAAAAAAATTCCATAAAATAAAATAAACCGATTATGTTATAGTAATTTTTTTTTCGATATTATTGAAAACACTCATAATATAATAATATTATAATCAGATTGGTTCGTCCAATATATCATCATCGTTCCATCGGAAAGTAATGGAAAACAAACAGAGAAAAGGAGAGATGGGTGGTTGGCTATCAAATCATGATATTTCAATTCGCCCATTTATTTAATGAAAGGTAAAAAACACCTACCATATTCATTACTCAGCTCTCTCCTCCAAACTTCTATTCCATCCCTATCATTCTCTTTCATTATTTTTCTAATATTACAGTTTTATAATTTATATTTTAAATATAACATATAGCCAATTGACATACGTTTCAACGACTCGAGACTTAGTCGAGTCAATATCCATCCGTTCCTGTTTTATTAACTATGCACCAAAGGCGGCCAATCGAGAATGTTAGGTACGCAGATCAAGAAAAAAACCAAAAAAGAACAACTGATCTCTTATGATTGGAATTTGGAATTTAAGATTAATTATTTAGATTTAAATGGAGAAAACATATGAATATTACTAACAATATTAATTAATAATCAAACTTAACACAACAGTTAAATTGGATAATTAGAATAACAAATGTCCAACACAAACCCACCATTTCAAAAGCAGTTCAACCAAGTCAACAGGCATAACGACAGGCACAACATCCACGCTTTCCACCACCACCCCATGCGCCCTCCGGCCGCCCCGTTGTCCTGCTCCGGCGGCGACGGTGCAGCGGAGGTGGCACCGCCTCCGTCCGAGCTCGACTTCGCCACGCTAACGGCGAGCCTCATTCCGGCCTGGCAGTGGCCGTTGATGGTGCATATGAACCAGTAGCTCGTGGCCTCGCCCAACGTCACGCGGTCGTCGCCGCTGTCGTACGTCCTTGTCACGCCGGTGCTCGAGTCACATGAACGGTACGTCTCCTCCGTCACCTGGTACACGTTGTGCTGCACCTGCACGTACTTGAACACTGCGTGCGTCCGAACACATCGATCAGTAAACGAGAAATCCGAAGCGGCTGCTTGCAGGAGATGATCGACTCTCATGACGTTACCTAACACGTCGCCGACGGTGAAGTTGTACTTATTGGACCAGAGGAGGTAGTTGATGCCGGTGTCCCATCCGTCGGCGTCGCCGACCGTGTACTCCGCAGCTTCTAAGTGGTGGCGAGCGACGAGACACAAGAAGAAGAAGAAGAAGAAGGAGGAGGTAGCAGTAAGCCTGGAAGTTACCACGAGATGGGATGCCATGGCTTGCAATGCAATGAATGGAGATGTCTTGGTCTGTGCATATAAATATGATGAAGTCTCTGGCGTGATGATAGACGAAGGGCAACTCCACAAGACACGTCCATATGACCTCTTCCAAGCAAAGAGCTTTCAGTCGTGATGGTCAGAATGGGTGTGCTCTTCTCCTCTTCTTTGCATTACTTCAACCATTGAAATGCTTATATTCTCCAGGATAAAGATTGTTTGACTTCCACACTACTAATTATTTTGAGCTGCTGACATCTCCTCATTAATCATCTAAAACTTAGATCGGTTGATTGATAAGATTAAAAACATGGTAGCTTCTCTCCGAAGAATAGTTCCCTGAACTGCCTTTATTTAGTGCAAGTTGGCTGTGGTTGGTGTGCTAAGACCAGGTCTCCATTTTGTGAGAGTTTTGACAGGCCATGGAGGCCACCCATGTTTTCTGCATTTATCTTTTACTTTCATTAATTGAGAATGTGGGAAGGATTTATTGGAAGCTTCATTTGTGGGAAAGACTTTGGAACTGATCCTTTGCCATGGACTTTAGTTCTAATGACAGTATCATGTTTAAAACAATTTGATTGACAGCAGGCACTGCGATTAAATTATTTCTTGGCAGATCTCTCAAGCATGTGTGTGCAGGTTGTGATTTATATTAGCGTAATATACTTTCACTAAGAAGAAGATCATGAAATTGAATTTTAACGAATAATGATCTGTAGACATTCTACACAAAATACAAGATAATTAGGCCCTCGTTTTTCTCAGATCAAGAACTGGTGCAGCCACAAATCCAAAATGGGGAAAGATGAGGAAAATTGTATGCGAAGTTCATGCAACAATCTGCCAAATATTAATCTTAGAGATGTTACTACAATAAAAAGATGTCATTACAAGATAGCACTAAACCAATGCTAAAATGGGCAACTCATTAATAAGAAATTATGCAATGGCTAAGTATTTATCATGCTACCTTTACAAAAGAAACTAAATAAAAGAATGTACTGCTCTATTGATTAGATCTACTATTAGTCTTCTCATAGAAACAAAACTAACGGCTGCCTAGAACTCTTGGGATCATAGAGATTCATTGTGATGCTATATCATGACACAGGAATGGCCAATCCAGACACAAAAGCAGAAATCATGCAGATGATATCAATCTGATTAAGCACCAACAGCACCAGCATGGATCGGTCCGTTCTGTCACGAACGGTCGTCGCGCACCCGCAATAACTCCGTTCAACGAACCGTTCGTCGCTCACACCTGCATGTACAGCTGCTTGGCAGCATGTTTTCTCTTGGTTTTGGGTCATTTTGCTTGTAAATATGTAAGTTCGAACAAGCTGCAGCGTTGCAAAGCGACCGTTCACCGAACCGAGCAAAACAGCCCAAAACAGCTCCGTTTTCGCGTGCCGCGGGAGGTGAGCGGAGAGCTGCCTCCGCTCACCAAAATGTCAACCATCTTAGACCCCAAGAACCCCCCGGGTGGCACAGGGCTGGATGGGGCTTCGGTTATATACCGGGCGTTGAACTCTCTTTCGCAAGTTCGCACGTGACCTTTACGGGAACTTGGTTTTGCGCCCGGGACCAGGTGAGCGGTTGTTTGTGGGCTTGCAGCTATTCGTTCATCCTTGAAAGCCTTGTTTTTCTCCCTCTCCCTCTTTTCTCTTGTGCACACAAGGTGTTCGACGAATTGCTTGTAAAGCTTCCCTTTTCGCGAGACTTCGGGACTTGTCCGTTGCTCGTTCTTTCGAACTAACTTCTTTCTCTTTTACAGGTCCTTCGGGACCTGCGAGAGGTTACAAAGTGGGCTGATCCTTGCGGAGCAAGATCGCAAGGGCGAAGCGCGGCTTAGGCAACGCAAGCTAAGTTCGCGTCTTTGCCACAAGGGTGACTCGCGACTTAGGCAACGCAAGCTAAGTTCGCGTCTTTGGCCGCAAGGGTGCCTCATGCCTTAGGCAATTCCAGCTAAGGTCGTGACATTGTGGTATCAGAGCGGGCAAGCTCTTCGATCGAACAGCGAACGAACTTCGCAACTTCGCTATGGCAAAGCATCGTGGCGAATCAAGCAAGACGGGGCAAGCCGGACCCTTGCCCCAAGCAGCCGCAGGTGAGCTGCACGTGCACACTCGTTCTCATGCTGTTGGAGCCGCTCAAGAGGAGCGCGGCAGCGAACAGGATGAGCGAGAAGTTGGTCGCTCTCCGCGAGCGGAGGAAGCGCAATCTGGTGCGCTAACTGGGAAAAAGAGTCATAAGGAGAGACTCACGACGGCGGAAACCCGCCTGGATGTTCTTGAAGCGAGCATGGAGGAACTCTACCACGACCAACAAAGACTTGTTGGGGTAGAGAGCTCGCAAGAGGAAGCAGAGTCTAGGATCGACAAGGTCGAGGCCCTAGTCGACCGACTATCGGATGACACCAAAGACTCCGTGCAACACTTACAGGATGTTGTGGCGGAACTCACTGCAAAGGTGGCTATGCTCACGAGAACACTAAATGCGGGAGGAGGCAACACCCGCGTTGCACCGCCACAAAATTTGAGGGCACCTGAGCCTCATGGATATGGAGGGGCCAGAGATGCCAAAGAGCTCGAGAACTTTCTGTTTGACATGGAGCAATACTTCCGAGCTACGAGGCCCGATTCTGAAGATACCAAAGTTTCTATAGCAACAATGTATATGAACGGAGATGCGAAACTTTGGTGGCGAACTCGTTGGGAGGAGATCCAACAAGGTCAGTGTCGAGTCGACACATGGGAAGACTTGAAGCGGGAGTTGAGAACTCAGTTCCTACCGGAGAACACAGAGTTCGTCGCAAGAAGGAAGTTGAGACAACTCCGCCAAAGTACCACCATCCGAGACTATGTGAAGCAGTTTTCTGCACTAATGCTGGACATACAGGACATGTCCGAGAAGGACAAGTTGTTCAGCTTCCTTGATGGTTTGAAACCATGGGCTCAACAGGAGCTAAATCGAAGGAATGTTACCGATGTAGTCGGGGCAATTGCAGCTGCAGAAAGGCTCACCGACTTTGTTTCCTCTGAAGACCCAACGAGAAGGAAACAATCTTCAGGCAATCGTCCTCCAAAACACTCTCGAGGGAAGGAGCTCGGGGGCGAACAAAAGAAGAAGAGCTCCCACAAAAGGCCGAACCCAAAAGGCAAGGCCTCAAAACCTGGAGGATGCTTCTTGTGCGGAGGACCGCACATGGTAAGGGAGTGCCCACAGAAACAGGCACTCAATGCTTTGACGGCTTCCATCCACCCTCCCCGATCAGACAAGGGCAAAGCTGTTGCTCTTAGTTCGAGTAGTTCAGAATCCAGCAGCGACGACGAGGAGTCGCAAGGACCCCGAATGGGAGCAATGCGTTTGTTAAACGCTATGCGGGGTCAAGTGGGGGAAAACATGAAGACGAAGGCACAAAAAGCAGGAAGTAGTGAGCTGATGTATGTGGACATCAAGCTAAATGGCCAAACAACCCGTGCAATGGTGGATACGGGCGCTACCCACAACTTCATAGCCGACCGCGAAGCACAGCGACTTGGGTTGACCTTGGAGAAGAGCCCAAGCCGAATGAAAGCGGTGAACTCAGAGGCCAGGCGAATCTCCGGGTTGGCGAAGGGTGTTCCTATCAAAATCGGGACTTGGAGCGGAAACACCAACATGATGGTCGTGCCACTGGACGACTTCCAAGTGATTCTTGGAATAGAGTTTATGCACGCAGCGAAGTTGGTGCCGATGCCGTTCTTGAACTCCCTATGTATGATGGGAGGCGATGACCCCTGCGTGGTTCCCGTCTCTCGGAGAGGAACCAAGGAGCCCCAACACATTTCGGCATTACAATTGAAGAAAGGGGTGCGAAAAGGCGAACTGACATTCGTGGCTGCTATGAAGCTAGAGCCACTCAACGAGGAGGCCATTCAAGAACCTGCTGTGGTGGCGGACGTCCTGAAAGAGTTCAAAGACGTCATGCCACCCGAGTTGCCGAAGACTCTTCCACCACGTAGAGGCGTGGATCACAGTATCGAGCTGGAGCCAGGAGTGAAGCCTCCAGCAAGACCACCCTACCGCATGCCTCCACCAGAATTGGCAGAACTCAGGAAGCGGTTAGGTGAACTGCTAAGCGGTGGTCTCATCCGCAGCTCTAAAGCACCTTTCGGAGCTCCAGTTCTCTTCCAGAAGAAACAAGATGGGAGCCTCCGATTATGTGTCGACTACCGAGCCCTCAACAAAGTAACAGTGAAGAACAAGTATCCCATCCCGCTCATCGCGGACTTGTTCGATCAATTGGGCAAGGCAAAGTATTTCTCAAAACTCGACCTTCGGTCGGGGTATTGGCAGGTACGCATTGCTGAAGGCGACGAAGCAAAGACTACCTGTGTGACCAGATATGGAGCGTTTGAGTTCTTGGTGATGCCTTTCGGCTTAACCAACGCTCCGACCACATTCTGTACTCTCATGAACCAGCTATTCAAGGAGTATTTGGATAAGTTCATGGTCGTCTACTTGGACGACATCGTCGTCTACAGCCAAACGCTCGAGGAGCACGTCAAGCACCTTCGGACGATTTTCAAGGTTCTCAGGGAGAACACTTTGTTCGTAAAAAGGGAGAAATGCAACTTTGCTCAAACTGAGATCCTATTCTTGGGGCATCGAATCGGTGATGACTCCATTCGGATGGATAAGTCGAAGGTGCAAGCAGTTGCGGAATGGCGAACTCCAAAGAAGGTGCCAGAGTTGAGATCCTTCCTTGGTTTCGTCAACTACTATCGACGCTTCATTGCGGGATATTCGAAGCGCGCAACCCCATTAACGGAGTTGCTGAAGAAGGAGCAGCCTTGGAAGTGGTCTGACAAATGTGAGATAGCATTCCAAGATCTGAAGGCTGCTGTTCTAGAAGAACCAGTGCTCAGATTGCCAAACTATGGAGAGCCCTTTGAAGTCCATACAGATGCTTCGGACTTCGCTATTGGGGGAGTACTCATGCAGGAAGGTCATCCGGTGGCCTACGAGAGCCGCAAACTCAACGAGACCGAGAGGCGGTATCCAGTGCATGAGAAGGAGATGACAGCAGTGATCCACTGTCTACGAGTTTGGCGACACTACCTCCTCGGGTCGCGATTTGTGCTAAGGACAGACAACATCGCCTTGAGCTATTTCCAAACTCAGAAGAAGCTCTCCCCAAAGCAAGCACGGTGGCAGGACTTCCTGGCTGAATTTGATATGGCAATGGAGTACAAGCCTGGGAAGGCGAATGTCATGGCCGATGCACTGAGTCGGAAGGTGGAATGCGTGAATACTGCACAACTGGAGGGCAGAGGCCAAGCAAGTCAGTTGCACTCCAACTTCCTTTCCCGAATCAAGGATGGAATGTATAGTGATCCCCAGGTAGTTATCCTGATGCAGCTCATCAAAGAAGGCAAGGCACGACGATTTTGGGTCCAGGAGGGACTTGTTTACACAAAAGGGAATAGGGTCTATGTTCCCCGAGTGGACAATTTAAGACGTGAACTCTTAAAAGAGTGTCACGATTCCCTTTGGGCTGGACACCCAAGCATTCACAGAACGTTGGCTCTCGTGGAGAGGGCCTTCTACTGGCCGAAGATGGGGATTGATGTGGAGGAATATGTTCGAACATGCCTTACTTGCCAACAAGACAAGGTGGAGCAGCGAAAGCCGGTGGGACTTTTGGAGCCGTTGCCCGTACCAGAAAGGCCGTGGGAGAGCATTTCCTTAGACTTCATATCAAGCTTGCCACTTGTAGGGGGACTTGGATCGATACTC